TGGCTTAATTATTTTAAAGATGGGGTCTTTCTATGTTGCCCAGGCTGGTATCAAACTCCTGGCCTTAAGTGGTTCTCTTGCCTTGGTCTCCAACAAAAGGCCACATAGTGTATGATTCCATTGATATAAAATGTCCAGAATAGACCCATTCATAGAGAAAGTAGATTAGTGCCAAAGGCTGTGGGGAGAGAGGAATTGAAGGTGCCAACTAACAGTTATGGGCTTTCTTTTGGGGGGGGTGGAAATATCCTGGAATTATATAACAGCAATAGCTGCGCAACATTGTGAATATACTAAAAACCACTGAAGTGCACACTTTAAAATGGTAAATTTTTTATGTGGGATTGTATTTAAATTAAAAAGTGCAAACAAAAAATATGATATCGGATGTTGAATTATGGGTCAAATCTTATAATTTCTGTTGGAATTTTAAGTCATAAATTTCTAGAAATGGCTTACATTATGGCATAATTTAAAACTGATGACTCTTTAATCAGCATTTATGAACTTATACTTTCACTGTTTGAGGTGAGAGTGGGCCTGGAAAGAGTTGGGGAAGAATGTACCAGTCTGAGCCTAAACTATTCCCCTCTATTTAATTTGCATGTTTTCAGCAAGCATTTCAAGAGTCTCCAGTCCAGTAGACAAATCATATTCCTCACCTGGAGAGCAAGTATTTGACAATTCTGAATCAGCATGGCCTGCTCAGTCTCCACTGGCTGAATCCAGTGGAGACACACACACACACACTCAGTGGAAAGGACTACTATCCTAAAACTTCTGTCAGGGCCCACAGCATCAGGGTGATGCTCATTTGGGTAATGTATTGAAAAAACAGTTTTTCTTCTGCAGCAGACACCAGCTGGGTGTCCTCTAATTCTGCAGTCCCCAACCCCTGGGCCACAGATTGGTACTGGTCCATGTGTGGCTTGTTAGGAACCGGGCCACACAGCAGGAGGTGAGCGGCTGGTAAGGGCGTGAAGCCTCGTCTGTATTTACAGCCACTCCCCACCACTCCTGGTATCACTGCCTGAGCTCCACCTCCTATCAGATCAGCAACAGCATTAGACTCTAATAGGAGCACTAACCCGACTGTAGACTGCACATGTGAGGTACATATCTACGTAGTGACACTCCTTATGAGAATCTAATGCCTGATGATCTGAGGTGGAGCTGAGTCGGTGATGCTAGCGCTGGGGAGCAACTGCAAATACAGATTATCATTAGTAGAGAGGTTTGACAGCACAATAAATGTAATGTGCTTGAATCATCTTGAAACCATCCCCTGCCCCCCAACCCCCTGAGTCTGTAGAAAAATTTGTCTTCCATGAAACCAGTCCCTGGTGCCAAAACGGTTGGGGACCACTGCTCTAATCCAATTCAATTCTGATGTTATTATCTACCTAGAGATAGTGTTAGATCCCACAGGTTGAGGGCTCAATCCCACAAGAGTGCCCCTGCTTCAGACATCAGTTGTAAATCCAGGCCTCTGGAACGTCTGATCAACTGGCTTCAGGTTGGGATTCCCATGACCCTCTCTTTAGGCTTGATTAACTTGCTAGAGCAGCTCACAAAACTCAGGGAAACATGTTTACTAGTTTATTATAAAGGGTATTTTAAAAGATCCAAATAAACAGCCAGATGAAGACAAACATAGGGTGAGGTCTGGAAGATTCTCAAGTGCAGGAATTTCTGTTCCTGTAGAGTTGAGGTACACTACCCTCCAGGCATGTGAATGAGTTTTTGGTCACCTTCATGTAAGCCCCATGAGTTCAGTTGTCCAGAGTTCTCTGTATCCATCTCCTTGGGCCTTTTATGGAGACATCATTGGATAGGCATAATTGAGGCATGGACAATCATATAGAAATGTGATTGGACAAAAAAGGTATGATCTAATACCAGTAGACTTAGTGGGGAAACCCAACAAGGCCTTTCTGTTCAGATTTTTGTTGGCTTTTCTATGCAGCATTTCTTCCACCTGGGCATGGGGCAAGACCCCTTCTGAAATTGGGCGGGGTGCTTATGACCTACAATCAGACAAAGTAGGTTAGTGAATTTCTTTATGGCTGGCTCCAAGACAGAAAGGTGGGGAAGATTAGAGTTTATTTTTAGTTTCTATGGCCTGCCTTGGGAAGAAATATGTGCAGGTTAGAGAGGAAGAGAAAGGAGGGGTGAAGGTCAGAGAGAGAGAGATTCTATTTTTTGAGGCCTCCTTCTGAGGCCTAAAGGGCCCCATAAGCCTAAAGGTCTTTTACTTTTAAGGCTCTGAAGTTGTTCCAAAGATACTTCAGGAACTAAAGACAAAAGGCCAAATATTTTAACAAAAGGTATGTTTATTGTTTTAGTCTCTTAGGAAATAACAACAGCTATGCACCTGGAACCATGGATGAAAACGTGTGTTGTGTGTGTGTGTGTGTGTATACGTATGTCATAATATCATAGTAAGTTTAAGTATGAAGTGAAGAGAGGGGCTTTATCTACACTTCTTTAGGGACAGAGTGGGACTCTGGCCCAACAAGGAGTCCACATAAATCAGTGGGGCTTTGGCATTTAGAGGATTCTAGTGCATCAGGTCAGCAGAGCAGAAGAGTCCAGTAGAAGGGACAGCAGTACCCAGTAAACATGGAAGTACCCAGGGAAGAAGTAGAAGACTAGATCGGAGACAACTGTCAGCCAACTGGACTTTTTCCTGAACATAATTTAGATAACCTATAGACACTTACATTCATGTCTGATAGTGTTCAGAGATAAGAAAAAAATCATTAAGAATTTCAACACAGGCCAGGCACGGTGGCTCACGCCTGTAATCCTAGCACTCTGGGAGGCCAAGGCGGGCGGATTGCTCGAGGTCAGGAGTTCAAAACCAGCCTGAGCAAGAGCGAGACCCCGTCTCTACTATAAATAGAAAGAAATTAATTGGCCAACTAATATATATACAGAAAAATTTAGCCGGGCATGGTGGTGCATGCCTGTAGTCCCAGCTACTCAGGAGGCTGAGGCAGAAGGATTGCTTGAGCCCAGGAGTTTGAGGTTGCTGTGAGCTAGGCTGACGCCACGGCACTCACTCTAGCCTGGGCAACAAAGTGAGACTCTGTCTCAAAAATAAAATAAAATAAATAAATAAAATAATAATAATAAAGAATTTCAACGCAATGACAGCAGAGCGTTAAACCAGGAGTAGGACTCTTCTGACCACAGGGCCCTGTGCTATACCACAGGTCACATACCCATTAAGCCTGCTTGGCAATGAGTGTTGGCTGATAACAACTCACATCTTACCCCTTCTCCTTGGCTAAATGGGAGCCACCTTGCCCCAGAGACTATGATCTACTCCACCTGCAGACTTTTGCCGAGAGTTACCTACTCTCCCAGCAAAACAGGCCCCAAGGCAGGATCTTCACAAGGGATTTGGAAATAGGAAATAAAGAAATAACATAGACAAATGATTGAGTTGGAGACAAAGTACAGTTTAAAGTGATGGGGGAGTTAGGAGTTCTCTAGCATTCCTGTGAGCTATGAGGCCCTGATTGAAATCCCACATCAGTATTTATTGTTACAGCAAATAGTTGTCTTTTGTTAAAGAATGATGTGTACAGCTCATTTTTCGAGGTTTCTAGGGGAACCTTACCTAATTGTGTCTGCAAGAATAGAGGGTCACAAAGTTTTTCTAAGATAAGCATGTTAAGCCCTAAGTTAGAAACAGACCTAGCTGAGCATACAAATTAAAGATAAAATGTATAAAATGAGAACACTGAGTCTGGTACTACTCTAATGTACTTCTTCTAAACATAGAGACATGTAGTCTAGAATGAAGCAGGAATAGCCTTGAAGTCTAGGATAGTTCCAGCTGCACGTTATCTGCTGGGCAGGCATTTTAATCAGCTTCTCTGCCAAGGACCCAAACTGAGCTTCTGCCTTGCGAAAAAGCCAAGGCAATGGCTAGCAGCAAAGAAGAAATGTTGCTTTGCAAAATTCCTCTGACAATGCCTCCTTTGTTGGAAGCAGATTCTATTCTGTGAACTAACATGTCCATAGATTCCTTCAAGGCAAAGCCCTGCAAAACTCCTGAAACCTTTCACATCTCTTAGCCTATTTCCCAACAGACTTTGATCTGTTACTGAGTAACACTGGGATACAAAAAGCCAGTGCCTCGCTCTCAAGGTGGGACTTGTGTGTGTGCTTCAGTTTCCAGGAGGGATTAACTAAACTCCAGTTAAACCCCATTCTCCTCCACCACCGCCCACCCCATTCCACTCCCAGCCTTGTGCTACTTCCTTTACTCCCTTTAACCCGAGAGCATTATTTCAAGAAATTACTTTTACAGGGATCTCTGTTCCAGGCTCTGCTTCGAGGGAGACTGCCCTGCAATAGAAATATTCCAGCTAAAATCACAAAAACAGGAAAACAGAAAAGAGAGAGTATTTGCCTCTTCTTGGAAGAACCTGAATTGAAATTGAACCTGAATCCAATCAAGCTTTTCTTGAATTAATTATCATTTTACAGGATACAGTAAAGAGGCATATGTTAATGATGACATCATGAAGATCCAGATTGTAGGACAATACAGGACAAACCAACCAACTGTTTCAACAACAAATTAAAGGGAAAATTAAAAAGTGGGAACCTAGAGATTAAAAGAAATTCAGGAAATATAGCAACCAATAGAAATGTGTGGGTCTTATTTAGATCTTGATTCAAGCAAACTGTTAAAAAACTATGACACAACTGGGAATGTGGCAGGGGTGGGGTACGGATCCTGGCAGCAGAAGAGAGAGGCAAGTCCCCAGAGAAGTAGGAAACGCCAACACCCGCCCTGAGAAGATACCCAGCAAGCAGAAGAAAGGCCCACTAACACACAAAGAAAGGAGAGTGACAAGGCCTAGGGCAGGGATGTTAAAATGGACTTGGGTTGAAGATGCTCTATAAGCCCCGCCTGACTCCGGGTGGCAGGAGGGGCCAAGGGCCGGGGGCGGGGCCGCTGGCGGTGACGACAGCCTCACGTGACCGGCCAGCGCGCTCCGCCGTCTGACCCGCTGTTGCTGGCTCCCTGGTCGGCGGCTGTACCTGCTGCTGGAGGCCCTGAGGGCGTGCGGGCGAGGGGCGGCCCCGAAAGTGGGAGGCGGCGGGGGAGCAGGTAAGGGTCCTGGAGGGGGTCCCTTGGGTTGGCGTGGGAGAGCGGCCCCGGCCTGAGGACCCCAACCCCGGGGGTCTGACGGGCCAATGGCAGAAACGCCACCCGTTGGCGACTGCAGCCCCCACCCCCCTCCGCGGGTCCGCGTGTAGGCGCTGAAGATGGCAGGCCTTTCGCGTGCGGAGGGGCGCACGGCCCCGCGGGAGCAGGTGGTCCGGAGGCGGATGCAGGACCTGCCTCCACCAGCGGCGCCAGCTTTTCCTACACCCCGCCCCGCCCCCGTCCTTCTTGGCGCAGAAAATGGTGGGCAGCGCGGGGGGCGCCGGGAGACGCGGGGCGCGGGCGGCGACGAGGGGCGGGGCGGGGAAGGGGCCGGGAGCGCTCGGCTGCAGCAGCCCCCGCGCCCCCCACCCCGCCGTCTGCAGGTCTGCGGGACCGAGTGTCGCGGCGGCGCACCTCGCGGCGAGGATCAAGAGGAGGAGGAGGAGACTGCGAGGATAGGCCCAGGTCGGTGCGGGGACAGGGGGGTTGCGGGGAGGAATGTGCGGAAAGCCCAGTGTGAGACCCCAACCCTCGTCGCCCCCCCACACACCCCCGCCCTCGTCATCCCCGTCCTCCATTTTGGTGCCTGCAGAGGCCTGGACGCGGATCTGCAGGGAAAATGGTGGGCTTCGCGGGAGGGAGGGGCTCGGAGGGGGCCCCTAGAGGGCGCGCGGGGCCTCTCAGGTGGGAAAGGAAATTCTCGAAAGGCCTTTGCAGCGCAGGGCTCTGAATTGTGAAAGGTGCGTAGTAGGGCCTCTGTCCTCGGTGCTGATCCGTCCACCTTTTCTCTCTCTCGTCTCGTAGGAGTAATGGAGTCCAAAGACGAACAAGTGGTAAAAAATCTCAACGCAGAAAATGCCAAACAAGAAAAGGAAGGAGGGGAGCAGGCCCCCGTGCAGAATGAAGAGGAATCCCGCCATTTGGGAGGGGGTGAAGGCCAGAAGCCTGGAGGAAATGTCAGGCGGGGGCGGGTTAGGCGACTTGTCCCTAATTTTCGATGGGCCATACCGAATAGGCATACTGATCACAATGAAGCAGGAGAAGATGTAGAAAGGTTTGTAGGGCAGATGATGGAAGTCAAGAGAAAGACTAGGGAGCAGCAGGGGAGGAACTATATGCGCTTCCAAACTCCCGAACCTGACAATCATTATGACTTTTGCCTCATACCTTGAATCCTAAGGTTTTCCCTGAGGTTCATGTGGCCACTGCTTTACAAGCTTGTATTTTTGTGATTTACTTTTTCTGTAAACCTTTTGGTGTTTACATTTAATCAGTTTCTAATTGAATATTGTTTTGTTTCAGTCTGAAAGTTTCTGTCAGCATGGCAATTTCATCCATTTTAGGAAAATATTGTTTTCCTAATATGAAATTAATAAAGCAGTTTAAAAAGCAGTCTATATTCCATCATCTTCCTGTTCCACCTCCTTGTTAATATTACCTTTCCCCTCCTAGCTACCTGGACTCAAAATCTCAGTTTTCCTTGACAATTATTTTGTTCCTTCACACAACCAATAAGGAGCAATCATGCCCATAATTCAACATCTGGTATCATTTTTAGAATGTATGTCCTAGAGTTTGTCAAAGAGTATGAGTGTTATCTGGATAAAAGCACCTGAGGAGGAGTGAGAATGTGGGGCTTTTGGCTCTTATTCGCCAGACTCACAGATAGGGCTCCAGAATCTCCATTTTTAACAAGCTGCCAGGTGATTCTGATGTACACCAAAGTCTGAGTGCCACTGGTATGTGTACGTATGTATATACATACGTGTGTGTACATCATGTGTCATTAAGTGTAAACAATAAAGAATAACAGGATTACTATCTGAATTTGGTAGGCAAAATATTAAAAAGGAAAAGTACAAGACCTTGAGACAGACTGATTATAGGAGTGGCAGGAACAGCAACAATCTGGAGGGTGTTCATTGTGCAAGATAAACAAAGCATTCCTGAAGGTCACATTCAGCCTGAGGGACCCAAGGTTCTTCCTCCCTGTTAACAGTTTCACATCCAGGATCTCATTTTATCCTTAGCACAACCTGTGAGGTCTGTGTTACTCCCCTTTACAGGTGAGGGCACTGAGGTTTAGAGATGCTGTGTACCAGCGCTAATCCCTGACGTATATCCTGGGGCTTGGGAGGATCCAGCCTGGGCCATTTTCTATAAGACCTTGTCATCTGGAGCTGCAGACTGTTTGACTTTTGTAACTTGGTGACAAGCTGAGGAAGGGCAAAGACAGACTCAGCAATAATGAGGCTTTCTATATATCATTTTCCTATATCTCCAATAGACACTTTAATTTTTAGAATGTTGGGGCATAAACAAATCTTAAATAAAAAAAGACCCTCCAGTCCAATATTCTTCAAAGTAAAGATTACCACTCATGGCTCTTGAAATCAGTTTTGTGGGTCACAACAAGCAATCAAAAAAGAATAGAACAAAAATAATAGTTCATCACCCATGGGTAGTGTTAAGAATTGTTTTGAGAAATTAATATTTTAGTTTTATACATAGAAAATATTGTCACCTTTAAGATGTATTTCTAGTTGTAGATCATAGTAAAAAAAATATTAAAAGTCACTTCTTGGTACAAACTTGGTTTCCCAAATGAGGGAACAGTACAAAAGTGATTTTCCTAAGGTTACATAGCCAGTTAGTGGAATAGCTGTGACCACTACCCTGGTCTCCCAATTCCCAGTTTAGGGTGCTTGTCTTCACACCTCAGTGTCTCCACAAATCAATATTTGGAAATTTTTGCAGTATGTACTGATTGCCAGTATATATAAACATACATGTATCAACTTATACAAAAATTACTATTTATTTGATGTTTGCACTATTTAGTCATCAGAGTTCCTGCGTGTTCAACTGAGAAACATGTTTAAGGAAAACTCTGCCTCGTATTATTTTGGAGCTGGAATGATCTCTCACCTTCTGTCCTAGAGGAAGGGGATGATGGAGAGTCTGAACTGAAAATGCACAGTAGTGAAGTCATAAGTGCTTCACAAAGGCTAGCTTACTGAGTTAAGTTCACAAATGGCCTTTTGTTTTCTCTGAAAATCAGTACTGTGCCTTCTTATAGCCACCAATCCTGGATTTCCCAAGGTAGTCTCAATTTAAAAAAAAAATGCTGGTGAGGGTTGAGATCAAGACATTAGTTGGAGGAAAACTGAAGCCTACTCACGAGGATTTTTAGAGCAGGATGAAAGACGAAGACAGACTTCCGGGAAGAAGTTAAGAGTCAATGAATATTTGGGTTCAAAACATGGTTTTTTGAAGTACTGAAAAAAGTTCTGTCCCTTTGGTGTTTCTGGGAGAGTGGGATGATAAGGACAGAATTTTCCTGGAAGTAGTAAAAGTCAGGGAATGGAGTCACAATGTGATTGGTTGAAGGAAAACCAGATTAAGACCTTTCTCCTGGGAGTTTCCATGATGGCAAGACATGAGTACAGAACTTTCTAGAAGAACTAAAGTTTGGTGATCATAATCAAAATATGATTGCTTGAAAAAGAATTGAAGGAAACTTCCTTTTCTGGGTGTCTCTGTAAGAGTGGAGGAGTGAAGACAGAACTGTCTAGAAAAAGAGGGGCTGGATCAGAAGTTGATTGAAGAACTGAGCTACCACAGTGAACACTTCCATTGATTTATAAATCCCATGGGAGGGTCAATTTTCCCTGCTCTTGGTGGGCAATACAGTTTTCTTTAAGGTGACAATAGAGAGGTGACAGTGAGTGTCTCCAAAGAGACCAGCAAGGAAACAAAAGGAATCTTTTATGAAAACCGACAAAAGTGAACAAACCAAGAATCAAGAAAAGGGACTACCACATTTACCCCTATCAGCCATTTATACATTCATGTTTGTAAATTTTTAGTTTCTTGAGGAAAATATGTATATTTTTATAGGTTTTGGAGCAAGGCTTGGGATAGATGCCTGGTAATTAAGGAGAAAAAGACTCAGGAGGCCTCTAAGAAGAGGAGAATCACATCAGTCTAATCTTACATAGCAGCATATGCTGCTGTGTTCAAATTACAGAAAGTGGAGATATCATTGAGGGAGACATTTAAAAATCCAGTGCCATGGACTGAATATTTGTGTCCCCCCCCAAAAATTAAAATGTTGAAATTCTTTTTTTTTTTTTTTTGAGACAGAATCTCACTCCGTTGCCCAGGCTAGAGTGCCATGGCGTTAGCCTAGCTCACAGCAACCTCAAACTCCTGGACTCAAGCAATCCTCCTGCCTCAGCCTCCCAGGTAGCTGGGACTACAGGCATGCGCCACCATGCCCAGCTATTTTTTCTATATATTTTTAGTTGGTCAATTAATTTCTTTCTATTTTTAGTAGAGACAGGGTCTCACTCTTACTAAGGCTTGTCTCGAACTCCTGACTTCCAGCGATCCTCCCGCCTGGGCCTCCCAGAGTACTAGGATTACAGGTGTGAGCCAACCTTCCCGGCCAATGTTGAAATTCTAACTCCCAAGGCAATGGTATTAGAAGGTGAGGACTTTGGGAGGTGATTAGGTCATGACAGCAGAGTCTCCATAAATAGGATTAGTGTCGTTATAAAAGAGACCCCAGAGAGCTCCCTCACTCTTTCTATGAACCAGGAAGCAGGCCCTCATCAGACACTGAATCTGCTGGTGCCTTGATCTTGGACTTCCCAGCTTCCAGAATTGTGGGAAATGAATTTCTGTTTGAAGCCACTTAGTCTATGGTATTTTGTTATAGCATCTCGAAGAACCAGGACAGCCAGCGAGGAAAAAGTGAACTTATAATGAAAAAAGCAAAAACAAATAAACAATCCAAATATTGCAAGAATAAAACACCAAAACAGATTACCACCTTCAGTCTGTATCTATGTGTGAGTAATTATTTTAGCTATATTGAAATATAATTAAAGTTTAAAAAGCACATATTTAAAGTATTCTATTTAATCCATTTTACATATATTTAAACCTGTGAAACCATGACTACAATCAAAATAGCAAAACTAAAATACTAAAAAAATAGAAACACTTTCATCACCTCCAAAAAAGTCTTTTCTTTCCCATTTGTAATCCATCCCCCTCTCCATCCTCATCTCCAGGCAACCTCTGATCTCCTTTCTGTCACTTTAGTTTGCATTTTATAGTATTTTTATATAAATTGAATCATAGAACACATACTCTCTTATATTTTTGTCTGGATTCATTCATTGAACATAATGATTTTGCATGTAATAATAGTGTATTCCTTTCTATTGCTGAATAGTATTCCATGATATAGTGAATGTTTATCCATTCATCTATTTTTATGTACATTTAGATGCTTTTCAATTTTGGCTATTACAAATAAAGCTGATATGAACATGTACATACACATTTTTATGTGGACATATGTTTTTATTTTTCTGGGGTAAATACCTAGGAATAAAATGACTACATTGTATGGAGGTTGTATGTTTAATTTGTAAGAAACTGCCAAACTATTTTCCAAGTTTTATGTTCCCATAAGTAGAGTATGGAAGTTCTAATTTCTCCACATCCTCACCAGCACTTAATATGATCAGGTTATTTTTATTAATATTTAAAAATTTTAACCATTCTAAAGGGTGTAGTGGTATCTTCTGGTTTTGATTTATATTTCTTTGTGACTAATGGGGTTCAGCACCTTTTCATATACTCATTAGCCATTCATATATTTTCTTTTGTTAAATATCTGTTCACATAAGTTTTCTCTTTTTAAATTTGGTTATTTGTCCTGTTATTACTGAATTGTAAGAGTTCTTTAGAAGTTATAGATTCAAGTTTTTAATCTGATATATATACATTGTGAATTTTTCTCTCAGCCTTGCCTTGCCTTTTCATTTACCTAATGGTTTCTTTCAAAGAATAAAACTTTTAAATTTTTATAAAGTCCATTTTATCTACTTTTTCTTTTATAATTGTGTTTTAAGAAATATGCTTCCTAATCCAAAGTTATGAAGATTTTCTTTTATGTTTTCTTCTCATAGTTTTATGTAGTTTTAGGCCTTCCATTTTGGTCTATGAACCATTTTGTGCTCATTTTTGTGTATAGTGTGAGGTAAACTCTGGTGTTCATTTTGTTTCATATGGATATCCAATTGATATAGCACCATTTGTTGAAGACTTTCTTTTCTTCATTGTCTTTACACCTTTATGAAAAATCAAGTGTTCATATATATGTAGCTCTATTTCTGTAGTGCCTTTTTACCCCACTTAACCATGTCTACGTTTTTCATCAATACCAAAATGCCTTGATTACTGTAGCTTTATAGTAAGTCTTGAAATTAGGTAGGGCAAGTCCTGCAACTTTGTTCTTCTCTATTAAAATTGCTTGTGATAATCTAGGTCTTTTGAATTTTCACATAAATTTTATAAGCAGCTTATATATAATA